TAAGAGATTGTGGGTTTTACATGCTTGAAAATGCTTTATATGTTTGCTTTTATTTTTAAATTTTCATTTGAATACGCTTTACATGTTATGTTTATGTATTTTAATTTTTAGATAATAGGTTTTTTAAAACATTTATTTTAAAATTTAAGTTTATATTTTTTATTAACATTATGTTTAATATTTTTCGAATTCTTTGCATTTTTTTTTAATTTTTTGGCCTTTTTTTTATTTTTTAGCTTTTCTTTGTAATTTTGCGCCTTGCTTAAAAGGGCGTGTGCCTCGCCTTGCGCCTCAGGCGCAAATTGGCCCTTGCGCTTTTTTTGCGCTTTTAAAACACTGGAAGAATCAGAAGATGTCCAAAACCATGTGGAACTGTGAATAGCACCACTGACCTAGAGGAGACTGTTTGAAATATCCTCTATTCACAGTTCCACATGGTTTTAGACATCTTCCCATACTAGAGTAATTAAATAAGAAAGAGAAAAAATCTGCACTAGAACAAACTTACTAAGGAATGCACGATGCATAAATCCAGTCCCACGTGTGTCACTACTGAAAACACACCTATAACCAACCAAGCCCCTGCAATTACAAAACGAAAAAGAGATTAAGTTTTTAACATAACAAAGAAAAGCAAAGGCTATGAGGAAAAAATAAAGTATTTTTTTATTTTTATTAAAAACACATCCTATGCACATTTGTTAGGATTAAAGATACCTGAGAGCACAAGAGAAAAATATAAGAAATTGATTTGGACAAGAAAGCAATGAGTTTTCACTTGTATACCCCTCTTCTATTATAAAATATAAGTTCTCCAAAGACCATTATGCCCTTACAATGAAGCCTTGTAGGATTGATTTGTGAACATCACCTTCTTTGATAAACCAAGCACATCCATAGTTAAAAGAAAAAGAAGAGAAAAAGATGAGAAATATAAATTGGTTTGGGCAAGGAAGTGGTTTACACTATTTGTCATACTCGTCATTTATTATAAAACGTAAGGTTTACGAAGAGCATTATCCTCTTTCAATAATGTCATCTAATTTAAAATATTGCAATTAGGGAACTGATTTGGACATGTCTCTTCTTTGATAAATCAGGCACATCCCCAAGGAGAAGGCAAAGAAACCACTGTTAGTTGTCAGTTGTGACAAAATTCAAAACATGGAGGGGCTTTTGTCTTTTAATCAATGTACTTTGTGACTAATGATAATGTACCCCCCTTTATCAAAATGGTTGTGCCCAAACCACTCCCCTTACAAAATTTTTTATAAGTAAAAGGGACAAAATTTATTAATGCAAGCAAAAACAGGTAGAAATAAAGATGTCGAGGCAACACCCACCATACACTTGAAAGAAAACTAGACCAACTGTCCAAAATAAATAACATCAATTGATTTTTTTTTCAAAATAAAAGAACCCTGCATTTCATAGAAAACAAGTCATCTAAAACCTCAATTTGAGAGGAGGTTCGTGAAGCATATATAAGCAGAAAAATCCCCTTTCACAAAGTGAAATTGAAATTAAAAAAAAGAGTAATAATTTTTTTTCTTTTTAAAAGAACGGATGTCTGATACAAGAAAACAGAAGCAGGTCCCAAACAATACCACCTTTTTCTTCTAGATCCTGGGAGATCTATATCATGAATGTCCAAAACAGATCAAGATCTGAACCCAACATAAACATGCATTCCCTCCGCTATGATTATACCTTTTTCTTCTAGACTGTTTTTGACTTGGGAACCATCTTCTTGGCTTCTCTCTTTGGGATAGAGCTGAACTCAACTGAAATAACTATCAAAGTCACAGACTTGTAATTCTAGTGCCTCCCAAAACCTTTCCCCTAAATCTTCCTTTTTGATCTGAGCAAATTCAAGGTGAACCAGCACCCAATCAGAAGAAATTTTGCCAATAGCTGTCACTAATTTCTTCAAACTCCAGCATTTGTCTTCATAACATCTCCTATACTTTTCCTTCCATATGCACCAGCAAACCACAAAAGGAATGCAGGAATAGAAGCTTGCCCTTCTTATAAGCTCTGAACTTTGGCCACGAAGAAAAGATCTGAGCAGGGGAACCAGGTTCAAGATATCTCAGCCCAAACAATGCAGAAAATAGCTTCCAGATGAAAACAATCACCTTGCACTGAATGAACAGTGACACAGATTCCTCTTGCTCTCTGCCTAAGTAGCACATGCTAGAAAGACAGAAACCTCTATTCTTAAGGTGATACACAGTGAGTACACTATCCATAGAAATAAGCTAAACTAAAGCTTCCACCCTCGGGGGCACTGGGTTGACCCAAATGCCCACACTCTGATCAAGCTCCAGATAATTCTTGCACAATGCTGAGTAGCAAGATTTAACTGTATATTTCCATTAGAACACTCATTCCACCACAGCTCCTCTCTCGAGTGGTCTGTAACCTTAATGCCTTCCAGTTTTTCCAACAAGTAAATACATTCCTCCACCTCTCCTTCTAGCAATGGTCTCCTGAACCTAGGACACCAAACCCTCTAATCTGCATGATGCTCAAAACATTGGTCGATGGTGACCTTATGCTCAAAGAGTCTATACAGCCTTGGGCACCTCCATCAGCTTACCCGCCCTACTCCAATCATCTTCCAAAAACCTTATCTTCTCCTCATCTCCAAAGTCCAAATGAGAGACAAGTTCTTAAACTCCTGGTTGAATTTCATAACACCTTTCCAGACACAAACCCCATAAGAAGCCCTGACCTCCCTTGATTCCCAACCAAACCGAACCACCCCACCACCACTCTCCTCCAGAATGATTGACTCTCCCTCTCTGAGCCAAACCTCCACAGCCACTTCCCAAGAAGAGATTTATTAAAAAATCTCACTCTTCTAATCCCCAAACCCCCTCCCCTCTTTTGATCTACATACTTCATCCCTTTTCACCAAGTGAAGTTTCTTGGCACAATGGTACCCCCTCCTCCCACTCCTTCCCAAAGAAAATCCTTTTGAAGTTTTTCCATTCTTCTTGCTATCTTAGCTGGAACCTTTAGAAGAGAGAAATAGTATGATAGAAGATTTGACAATCTAATCCTAATGAGAGTAATTCTCCCTCCCAAAGACAGATATCTTGCTTTCCACCCATCCAATCTTTTTTCTAACCTCTCAACAATAGGTTTCCAGATAGTAGAAGAGGACTTTGCCCCCACTAGAAAACCCATTTCACCAGTTTACTTGCTCATGTGCATTGGCATAACATGGATTCCAATTGCTGGGGTCCTTTTCCCATTGTTGATTATGCTACTAGTCCCAGTGCGGCAATACATACTCCCTAAATTTTTTGAAGGAGTCCATCTTCAAGACTTAGATGCAGCAGCTAATACAATCTTGTCATTCAAGATTTTTGCCTGGTTACAGTTTGCATTTGCAACTAGTGCTTTTTTTATGTGCATCTGATATAGTGCTAACAGCTATTCATTTTTTGACAACCTATATAACCTTAGGACAAGCATCACATAGTTTCCCAAGAAGAGTTTTCTGTCGGCATTTCGTAAGATGGGAAGTTTCACTCAGGCGGGGAAGTGGCGAGTGGAGCTGGCTATAGAGTCAAAGAAATTCCTATTCGAGCACAGACGGACAAAGGGCAAGTCGTACTTGAAGATCAGGGAAGGAAATAGGGCAACGATTATTCTACCAGAGGAAGCTTGCAGTTGGCTGTAAGGTTTTGTTGATGGAGTAGTCAATACTATGAAGGAAGAAGGTTGGAAAAACTCAGTGAGTTGCGGTGGTAGAAGATACGATGCAGTATTTAGGAAAAATGAGAGGGGCTGGTTCTTCACAGTAACAGAGTATTTTGGCATCAACAAGAAGCAGATGATTTGTGTGCCGGAGGGGCCAAGGGAGCAAGGTTGGAGCTCCTTTGCTAGGAACCTTCAAGCTTTCCTA